TTTTTTTGGTTTTTTGAGACAGAGTTTCTCTGTAGCTTTGGAGCCTGTCCTGGAACTAGCTCTGTAGACCAGGCTGGCCTCGAACTCACAGAGATCCGCCTGCCTCTGCCTCCCGAGTGCTGGGATTAAAGGCGTGTGCCACCACCGCCCGGCTTCTTATTTATATTTTATTTCTTTCACTCATCTCATTTTTATAGCTGAGACTTCAAGTACTATGTTGATAGAAGTGTGGAAAATGGACCTCCTGGTTTTAGTGAAAATCTTTGGATTTCTAAATCTCTGTTTTGAATGATGTTTACTTCTTAAATGCTAAGATTGCAGGCATGTAAAAATCTGAAAATGTGAATTCTCCATGAAGCTAACATAGCTGGTTATTTTATAGGAGTTAGCATGTACATATTAGTACCAATGATTTGCCTGTCATCATGGGGGCACAGAACAACTAAGCAAACCTGGCTGTATATGCATTCTTATTTGGGGCCACCACATCAGAGGATTTAGGCAGCAACCCATATTCTAAACCAAAAGACACAACAAATTCTTTTTTATAATTTATGAACTTTACAAAGTGTTATTAAGTAGGAAAAGTATGTTTATACACTTAGAAAAACCCAACTCTTATTTGTGATATCCAATCTTCTGCTTATAGACACCCACTCTTATATTACCCACACATGGCCCTGGTGTGGTATGACACACCTTTAATCTTAGCATGCAGGAGACAGAGATCTCTTTGAATTCAAGGCCAGACTGGTCTGCACAGCAAGCTCCAGGCATCCAATCTTACATAGTGAGACTCTGTCTAAAAACATAAATACATGTAGCCATACACATAGTAAAATACACGATTATCCACATATTTGTTCTGTTATTCAAGACAAGGTTTTTATGTGTAACAGCCCTGGCTATACTGGAACTCACGCAGGCTGGTCTTGAGCTCAGAGATCCACCAGCCTCTGCCGCCTGAGTGCTGGGATTAAAGGCGTGCACCAACTGGCTGATTATCCGCATTTTTTAACAGAAACAATTTGTTCTTAAATGTATTTTATTACATGGGAACATCATTATCTGAAAATTAATCAGAAATTCTGCTTGATAGTTTCAACTTTTGAGATCTTTGGTGGGTTTTTTGTTGTTGTTTTGGTTTTTTTAAGATAGGGTTTCTCTGTGTTAACAGCTCTGGCTGTCCTGGAACTCAATTATTAGATCAGGCCGGCCTCAAACTCAGAGACATCCACCTACCTCTGCCGCTGGAGTGCTGGGATTTAAGGCGTGCACCACCCAGATCAACACTGTTTTAAGACAGGGTCTTACACAGTACAGGCTGACTCAAACCTACTAGAATCGCCAAGGATGATCCCAAATTTCTGGTCTTCCTACTTCCATTTTCCAAGTGCTAGGGTTACTGGTGTATACAAGCATACCTACTTATATGATGAGGGTCAAACCCAGGGCCTCATGTAAGGCAAACACTATATTAACTGCACTGTCTTCAGGCTTTAAACTGTATTTTTTTTAAAAACAACCATTCACTAACAATAACACAATGTAGGCAATCTTATTACACACTGAAATATACATGGCATGTACACAAAACCAAATAGGTTCATTTTTCATCCTCACGCAGTTTCTTTTCACTGACTTCTTCCATATCAAAAGTGAATGGTTTGTCATAACCCATTAGATGGTTAAAGTCATCAGGGTTTGGGAAGAGCAATGGATTAACTAACAGTGACTTTGTTTTTGCATAAAAGGTGGTAAATAGATGTGTGCTCTCTGGAATCTTCACGTCATTTTGATGAAACACCGTGCTGGTTTCCGAAAGCACAGCATTGTAAGTGATGGCTTTGTAAGTGTCACTTGTGGCTTCGTGGTACAACCGAATGACATAGCCTTTTGTAACGAAGTGAAGCAGCATAGGCGTGATCACTGTGAAGATTCCCATGACTCCATAAAATAAGATTTGCAGAGGCAGACTTTCAAACGTCACACTTTGTGAAAAAAAATATGGTAAAGATGCAAGGCTGATCACACTTGTAGAATAAGAGAAACATTTCACACCTAAAGAGAAAAAAAAACAATTAATAACTAAGTTTTATAAATCAATCTATACCACTTCCTATACCACTGTTACAATTTGAATGCAAAAAGATCCCCTAGTTTCATGTGCTGCACACTCGGTCCCTAGATGGAAGCACAATTTTGGGAAAATTTAAAACTTTAGGAGGTAGACCTTGGCTGTTGCACTGAGGTCGGCCCCACCTCTTTTTCCTATGCTATGAAGTAAGAAAGCTCCTGTCATATACGCATACAACCCTGATGTTCTGTGCAAGGGCATGGGGCCAAGCAACCATGACCAAACCTTCTAAAACTGTGAGTCAAAACGTATCTTTCCTCCATGAAGTAGTTTTCTTGAATATTAGGTCACAGTGATGACAAAACTAATACAATAATCATAAGCCCACCATCAACAACAAACACAATGAAGTGCTTATTATGTGTCAGGGCCTCTGCCTTCCGTCTCAAGCAATTCACTTATTCTATTCGTAAAATATATATAAAAGCTCAAGGAGAGGTGTATAATTGTTATCATTGCTCCATTTAAAAAATGAGAACTGGGTGAGGCAGGAGGATCACAATTTTGACATGACATGGTAAAACTGCTTCTGAAAAAGCCAAAGAGAGGGAAAGTGAATAGAATTCGCTCTATGGAGTGTATCTGCTTAACATGCTTGCTGCCCTAGGCTGGTCCCCAGCACTGCCAAATCTTGAACAATGAGGAAAAACTGAAGCTGAGTGGCTCATATCTATAATCCCAGTACTTAAGAGGCAAGGGTTGGAAGATCGAGCCTGGGATAGAGAGAGGTACAGGCCAGCCTAAGGTACAGGCTGGAGAGATCATGCTGTACAAGCATGAGAAGCTGAGCTCAGCTCTCCAGCACCCACATAAATGCTGAGCATGGCAGCACACATCTGAAATTCAACAGTTGGGGAAGTGACGACAGGCAGATTCCCATGGCTTGTTAGCCAGCCAGTTTAACCAAAACGGTGATTTCCAAGCTGGGCATGATAGCACATGCTGCCTTTAAGCCCAGCACTCAGGAGGCAGAGGAAGGGGGATCTCTTGAGGTCAGTCAGAACAGCCAGAGCTGCACAGAGGAAACCCTATCTTGAAAATCAAAACCAAAAATCTCCAAGTTCAATGAAAGATTGTCTCAAAAACTAAGGTAGAGATTTGCTGTAATTAGTTTTAACCACCAATTTGGCATAGCCTAGTCACTTGAGAAGGGAATCTCAGTTGAGGCTGTCCAGATCAGACTGGCCTGTAGGCATGTCTAAAGGACTGTCTTTATTAGCACCATTCTCAGGGCAGGTGGTCCTGCATTGCAAAAGAAACCTAGCTTAGCCTGTAAGTGAGTCAGTAGCTGCATTCTTCCAAAGTTTCTGCTTCAAGTTCCTGCTTGAGCTCCTGCCCTGACTTCCCTCAGCAATGGAGTACAACCTGGAAGCTGACATTTTGCTTTTGGTCAGAGTATCGTATAACAGCAAGAGAGTGAAACTAGAACAAGAGCAATGGAGGAAAATACCTGAAAACAACCTCTGTCATACACAGACATTCCCCACACCCACACATGAGGACAGGATAAAGCAATGTACAATGCCACACAGCTAATTACGAAGTAGTTGGGCTGGGATTCAAACCCAAGTAACCTGACCCTTCATGAATGAGGCTGAGGCAAGAAGACTGTGAGTTCAAGTTCAGCCTTAGCTACACATTAAAACTGTTTCAAAAAACAAAAACAAAATAATTTAAATACCATCTATTTAGAAAATATACAAGTTGAGAATCTAAAAAGTTGATCATAAAGTACATTTGGGGAAAAGATGGCAAAGAGATAAGGGTTAATCTCAAATTTAAAATCTAAAACTATATAAAATAGTGTGGCACCTTCTCCCCATCCAAAAAAAAAAAAAAAAGAGACTGGTGTATACAAAAAGACACACACAAAAAGAGACAAATAAACAGAGCAAAATAGAAAAAAAATACATTGAAATATATGTTGAAATTTAATACAGAATAAAGACATAATCTAAAATCAGTAGGTGAGGTGGTGGTGGTGGTGGTGGCGCACACCTCTTAATCTCAGCATGTGGGAGGCAAAGGCAGTTGGGTCTCTGTGAGTTTAAGGCCAGGCTGATCTATAAAGCCAGTTCCAGGACAGTCAGGGCTACACAGAGAAACCATGTCTTGAAAAACAAACAAACAAATCAGTAGGCAAAAAGATTAACTTTTTAGTAAGTGATGTTAGGTTTATAAAAACTGTATTTAGAAAAATGGTGAAAAATCCGGGGCTAGCATGACAACTCAGAAGCCTGACACCCTAATTCCAATGCCCAGAACCCACATAAAAACTGGAGAAGCCAGGCAGTGGGGGCGTGGCACACGCCTTTAATCCCAGCACTTGGGAGGCAGAGGCAGGCAGATCTCTGTGAGTTTGAGGCCAGCCTGGTCTACAAGAGCTAGTTCCAGGACAGACTCCAAAAGCTACGGAGAAACCCCAACTGACTCCATAGAGTCAATGTTGTTGTTTTCGTTTTTTGAGACAGGGTTTTTGTGTAGCTCTGCAGTTTTACAATTCACTCTGTAGACTAGACTGGCCACGAACTCACATAGATCTGCCTGTCTCTGCCTCCTGAATGCTGAGATTGAATAAGAGCATCACCACATCCGGCTAGAATGTTCTTTGACCTCCACACATGTGCCATGTTTCATACATACATACATAGATACACACACACACACACACAAATTTAAAAAGAAAATGATAAACTTCAATCCATCCATTATACCATAAACCATGAAAAATCCAAAAAGGTCAGAGATTTAAATGTGGGGAAAACATGGAGGTATCCATGAAGTCCTTTGTAATCTGGAATGGACAGAGCTGGACATGATGACACAACATGAAAGAGCCAGTACTGTTCTTTCACAGTTCAGTTCCCAGCACCCACTTCCAGTAGCTCCCAATGGAGCCAACATCTCCAGTCTCTGAGGACATTTGTACACATGTGGCATGCTCCCATAAAGACACATTCACAAACACATATTTAAAAAGTAATTAAAATCAACCTTTTTTTTTAAGTTCCAGAAACAGCCAGGGTCAAAAGACTGACAATCTGACTACAATTTTTTAAAAAATCAAGAAAAGGAAAACAATGTAGCCACACACACCAGTAACTCAATATTTGAGGTGGAAAGAGATCAGTTCAAGGCTAGCCAACTTTACCTATCAAGTTGGAACTCATTCTGAGCCACATCCTGTCCATGACAATATTCTGAATTTATATCAGAAGGATTAGTATCCGCAATATATAAAATGTTTGTGGAATGAGAAAACCAAAAAGCTTGACACTTTAAGGACAAATATGTGAATGGCCCTTTAAATAAATTTAAATAAATTGGTACAAAAATCTTATTCATAAGATCCATGTAGTTAAAATTAATGTTACTGTTTTGCTCCCAAACTGACAAAAGCAAAAGTCTGACAACTGTTCATAAAGCTGGAACTAAGCAGCCACTAATATAGTGCTATTGGCTGAAAGCTTAATTATATTGTCAGTAATTTAAAAATAGTTCCTTTCCTCTTCCCACAGGTGGTTGCTATGGCATCAGTATGCAGGGAATAAATGAGGACCATGGTGCCTCCTATGTAACTCCTCCAATCTTCTGAAGTATCTTTTCTCCCTATTACTTTTGTTACACTGCAGTAAAACTGATGCCTAACTAGAACTTCATAATGTGTCCTTATTTGGAAATAAGATCTTTGCAGATCTAAAGAACAAGATGAGATCATGCTGGATTGAGGTGGGCTCTAAATCTAATGAGGTGCCCTTATAAGGGTGGAAAAAATCAGAGATTCCCAGAGGCTGCCATAGGAACAGCAAGCAGCAGTCACAGGGAGGGGCAAGCTACAAGCCAAGAATGCTAAGGACTACCAGGAGCCACCAGGGGCTAGATGGGGTAAGACTTCCTTGAGCCATCACCATGGCATGGCCCAGTGCATACCCCACTTTTACATTTTTAGCCTCCAGAACTGTAAGAAAATATATTTACTTCTATTGTTTCCATGTTTAAAAAAGAAACTATTAGATAAGAAGGCATGGCAGCAGGAACTTGATGTGACCAGGTACACTGCATCCAGTCATAAGAGCTTTCTCTTCTTTACTCAGCCTAGGGTCCCACATGTGGAATGGCAAACCCACATTGAAGGTGGATAGTTCCAGCTCCACTAACCTAGGCCATCTCTCACAGACATGCCCAGAAGCTCATCTCTCCATTAAGTCTAGATCTAGACAACCTTTCTGCCTCTGCTTGTACTGAGGACTTCTGCACCTGCGACATATGTGCTCCTTCCACATCTTCACAGACTGCACTCATCTTGATGCAACCACTCTGTTCTTTCTCTCCGCAGCCTGAACTCATACCTAATCATAGCATTGCAAATACGGCTGATCGTATGGCATATTCACTTTTCTTTCCTACTGGCTGTAAGAGTCTGCATTACCTTCGAGTTTTATCCCTAAGACACAGTCAGTATCGTATCTGTAATTAACTGGGGCTGAATTAACATTAACTAAAGAAGAGCCTTCTGGAGGCTGCCCACGTGGCAGTTAGGAAGTCCCAGAACCACAGCACTACCTCAGTGTTTCTCCCTGCGTTCCCACGTAGAAAGCAGCACTGACCTCTGACACAGCGACGTTCTACTATCCATAGCATTGAAAGGCTCAGGCAATAACTTTCCTCTACAACCTACAATTGTACTTTTTTTGTTTTTGTTTTTCAAGACAGGATCTCTCTGTGTAGTCCTTGCTGCCCTAGAACACACTCTGCAGACCAGGCTGCATTAGAACTCACAGAGATGCACCTGCCTCTGCCTCTCAAGTGCTGGGATTAAAGGTGTGCATCAGGGCATCCAGTTTGAGCAACCATTCTGAAGAGGCATTATGAGAAGGCTAGGTGCACAGGACAGTCAGGACTACAAAGAGAGATCCTGTCTGAAAAAAACAACAAAACAGAGGTGCTACCAGGCTTTTAGTCACAGGTTTTTTTTTTTCTATTTATTTACTTGTTATGTATACAATAGTCTATCTGTGTGTATGCCTGCAGGCCAGAAGAGGGCACCAGACCTTATTACAGATGGTTGTGAGCCACCATGTGGTGGCTGGGAATTGAACTCAGGACCTTTGGAAGAGCAGGCAATGCTCTTAACCACTGAGCCATCTCTCCAGCCCCCCTAGTCACAGTTTTTGTATTGTGACCAAATACTGGAGAAAAGCAACTTAAAAAAAGGAAAAGGTGGGGACTGCAGGGATGGCTCAGTGGTTAAGAGAACTGACTGCTCTTCCAGAGGACCCGGGTTCAATTGTCAGCAACCACCTGGCAACTAACAACTGTCTGTAAATCTTGTTCCGGGGTCCCGATACCCTCACACAGACATGCATACAGGCAAAACACCAAAACACACAAAATAAAAAATAATTAAAAAAGGAAAAGTAACTATGACTCATAATTTCTGAGATTTTAGCCCACAGTTACTTAGACCTATGTACTTGGGCAACATCATGCCTACAAGTGTATTATTAGATAGTGGAAGACCTTCATGACAAATTGAAAGCAGAGAGAGGACAAGAAAGAGCCAGGAACAAGATCTTCCCTCCAAGAACCCACACCCAGTGACTTACTTCCAGAGGAAGACAACTCTCCTAAAGTTTCAGAACTCTCTAAACAGTGCTACCAGCTGGGGAAGTGAGACTACATTAAATGCATGAGCTTGTGAGGATACTTAAGCCAAACCATAACAATATCCTCCCACTCTTTTTAGACTACTTACATATTTTTATTTTTCCCTTACATCTTCTAAGATAAGTGACTTAAGGGAAAGATCACAAAACCACAATTCAATCTTTAAACATCTTTAAAACTCCTAAACGGGAAAGTATCAACCTCTACGTTGTCTCAATGGGCTTCAAAGAAAAAACAATTTTCCTTATGTGTTATAATAATTCAGTGATGCTAAGAACATAGGTAACATATGCTAAAAAGATTTACTAGGTAGGACAAGCCCAGATGGCCTCAACCGCACACAAGAACTCTAGGCAACTAAGTAAAGCTGGGTGTGAGAGAGGTGGAAGAGCACACCAACTGGTTTTCCAGTGCAAAACATCAGCCCTGAAAACACAAACGAGTAATGCTGTACAGACTCAGCAGGTTATAGTTAGGAATACACACACACACACACACACACACACACGCACGCACGCACGCACGCACGCGCGCGCGCGCGCGCGCGCGCGCAATTGGTGAAGAGAAGAGGCCATAAAATTGAAAGAGAGTGAGAAGGAATACACAAGAGGGTTTGAAGGCAGGACAAGGGAAGAGAGAAATACTTACCAAATACTGTGCGGGCCAGGTTCCCAGTATAAATCAGCCTTTCATCTTCTGGTTTATCAAACTGTGTGTGTGCACATCGAACACATCGCTCCCAAAAAACGGGTATCTATTGAAACAAGAAACAATTGACTAACTGGCTTTTTGAAATTTTTAGTTATCAAAGCTTCATATATATATATGAAGAGAATTTGTTACAATGTGACATAAAGAATTCTCAGATAACTTCAGAGACACCTTATCTCTCTCTCTCTCTCTCTCTCTTTTTTTTTTTTTTTTTTTTTGGATTTTTCGAGACAGGGTTTCTCCGTAGCTTTTGGTTCCTGTCCTGGAACTAGCTCTTGTAAACCAGGCTGGCCTCGAACTCACAGAGATCAGCCTGCCTCTGCCTCCCTCCCGAGTGCTGGGATTAAAGGCGTGCGGCAACACCTTATCTCTTAAAAATAAGGTTGAGAGGTCTGGAAAGGTGGCTCAGAGGTTAAGAGCACTGACTGATCTTCTAGAGGTCCTGAGTTCAATTCCCAGCTAACACATGGTGGCTCACAACCATCTATAATGAGATCTGGTGCCCTCTTCTGGTGGCAGGCATACATACAGACAGAACACTGTATACATGACAAATAAATTTTTTAAAAAATCAGGTTGAGAGATGGAGAGGCTCAGTGCTTAAAAGGGCTTAGTTAGTGCTCTTCTAGAGGATCAGGGTTGAGTCCCTCCATCCACATGACTGCTTACAACCTTCCGTAACTCAAGCCCATGGGATCTAAGACCCTCTCCTGGCCTCCATGGGCACTGCATGCATATGGTGGACAGACATACATGAAGACAAAATACTCATACATAAACAGGAAAAAAAATCTTAAAATAAGGTTCAAAGCAACAGAAAAGACACCCAGTCAGGTAGTGGAGGCAGAGGCAAGTGGATCTCCAAGTTCCAGGTGAGTCTGGTCTACAGTTCCAGGATAGCTGGGACTATATAAAAGAGAAACCCTGTCTCAAAAAACAAAAAGGAAAAGAAACCTAATGTTGACCTTCACGTGTGTACTTAAACATATACTAAACATGCACAAATAATTTCTAAAATTAGTTTTAATGCAATGATCTTAGCAAAACACTGTATATTGAGGTTGCTTTGTGTTTTGGTGGGTGTGTACATGTATGAGCACATCCATGTCCAGAAATCAAACTACAGTCATGAAAGCAAGAGCCTTCACACAGGTTAGGCCGTCCTGCCAACCCTATGGCTTTAAAGTCTGTACCTATGAACTACTAACATTATAACTAGCATTTAAAAAAAAAAGACTGTTTCCCTAAAAGCCTTGTAAATATCTTATACCTCATTTTTTGTTTTGAAGATAAAGGTCGCCAAGATGTAATCCTCCAGCTCACAATGTAGCCCACGCTGATCCCTGATCTCGGCCTCCTGAGCTACCACTGGATTATAAGTGTGCCACCATTCCCAAACCTTTTATCTCAGAAAAAGAAAACATTGCTTGAAAGCTACATGAAGTTTATGCTAGCAGTTTACCAAATATGTGAATGAAAATGAATATCTAAAAATGCATTTCAGGGTTCGAGATGGTTAAGAGCATTGACTGCTGTTCCAGAGGTCCTGAGTTCAATTCCCAGCAACCATATGGTGGCTCACAACCACCAGTAATAAGATCTGGTGCCAACTTCTGTCTGCAGAGACACATGCATGCAGACCATTGTATACATAATAAATAAATAAAAATGCAATTCATGCAGGAAGTAGTAGTGCATCCCTTTAATCTCAGCACTTGGGAGATAGAGGCAGGCAGATCTCTGTGAGTTCGAGGCCAGCCTGGTCTACATGAGCTAGTTCCAGGACAGGCTCCAAAGCTACAGAGAAACCCTGTCTCGAAAAACTAAACAACAACAAAATGAATTTCACATTGCTCATAGTTAAAAATGTAAAAAGCACACCTAACTTCCGTGTGTTGAAATTTAGCTAAGACTCTAGCTAGTATCTGCCCAGGATGGTGGCATATGCCTTTAATCCCTGCACTCAGGAGGCAGAGACAGGAGGAGTTTGAAGCCAGTGCCAGGCTGATCTACATGTTCCAAAACAGCGAAGGTTACATATCGAAACCCTGCTCCAAAAAAACCAAAACCAAATAATCCAATTTCAACTTTAGGCATTTCTTCAAAGCTTATTACTACTATTATGTTTTGGGACTGTTTTTGTTTGTTTGATGTGCGATGTGGTTTCTCTGTTTAGCTGTCCTGGAACTAGCTCTGCAAACCAGACTGGCCTTGTAGTCACAGAGATCCTCCTGCCTCTGCCGTGCACCCCCTTCCCCGGTATTGTTTAATTCTTATATTTTAGAATGTAGACTTACGTAGCTTGTTCATATTAAAATGGAAAGATAACATTCATACCCCACATTTCTCTCAATAATCAAAGAAATTCCTAAAAACATAAGACAAACATAGAACTCTGAACGAGGTTATACGAGTTCGTTCGCGTTCATCTCCAGGTGCTGCATTAATTTCTTAGCAAATCAACCTTTCTGACCTTCAGCTTTAGGGTAAGAAACTACTCCGAGCTTGATGGTGCACGCTTCAAATCCTAGCACTAGAGAATCAGAGGTAGGAAGGTCTTTGGGAGTTCGAGGTCAACCTGGTCCAATTAGAGAAGGCAGGCTAGCTGCGGCAACAGAGACGCCTTGACTTCGCACAAAAGAAGAAACCAAACTCAGCGTTGTTATCACAAACCACGCAAACTGGAACCAGTCTAGGAAAGAGCAATCACTTTCTCCCTTTGCAGCCGCGGCGGGACCCGAGGCCGAGGCCTGCTCCTCCGGGGCCCGTACACGGAGGGTTCCCTCCGCACCGGAGCCCCCCAGACCGCACAGCGCACCCTCCACCCCGGCCCCTGGACGGCCGACCTGCGCTCCCCAGGCTCGCGGGCCAGGCTGGACTCCCCGCAGGAGTACGCCGCTCAGCAGTCGCGCGGGCTCGGCGCGGGAGGTCGCACGCCACAAGGCGACCCCGGAACCTCGGAGCGCGGCGGCCGCACACCATGGAGTCCTCCATCCGCCGGGCCGCAGTCCCGCTGCCCACCGGCCACCCAGAGCCAACAGCAACATGGCGCGAGCTTGGTGAGAGCGCGGCCAGGCTCCAGCTGCCGCCAAGGACGCCAAAACGCGACTCTCGCGACCGACGCCACTACTGCGGCGTGGCCCCGCCCCCTAAAGCTGACCACGCAGCCGGATTGGTGCCCACGCGTGCGCATACTATGCGGCCGGCCTGCAACCTTCCCCACCTAGTGGGTTCCGGGCAGCAAAGGATCGTCGAGTTCCAACTCCCCGCCACAGAGTGGGGAGGCATGTGAAAAAGACAAAGCTCCGAAGCCTAGCAATCATTTTCTAGGTCTTAAAAAGTGATTATGGAAAGCCAGGCTTAGTGTCACACACCTTTAATCCGGGCACTCAGGAGGCAGAGGAAGGCAGATCTCTTGTGAGTTAGAGGCCTGGTCTACAAAGCCAGTTCCAGGACAGCCAGTGCTGTTTTTTTGTTTTGGTTTGGTTTGGTTTGGTTTTGGTTTTGGTTTTTGTTTTTCGAGACAGGGTTTCTCTGTAGCTTCGGAGGCTGTCATGGAACTAGCTCCTGTAGAGCAGGCTGGCCTCGAACTCACAGAGATCCGCCTGCCTCTGCCTCCCGAGTGCTGGGGATTAAAGGCGTGCACCAACACCGCCCGGCCAGCCAATGCTATTTTATAGAGAAACCCTGTCTTTGTGGGGGTGGAAGGGAGTGTTTTGGGAAAGCGATTCTAACCTATCAGAAATAATTCTAGAGTTATCATCCCAAAAAGAATGTAATACTACATATGCTATGAACAAAACGAATGATAATTTAGCTCAATCACCGAGATGGGAGAAAATGGAACTTTTTCACGTAATATAGTTTTTAATTTTTGACAGATATTTTCATCCATACACACATTTGTTCTTTGCTCTTTAAAGAGGTATCGTGTAGGGGTGGGGAATGCAGCTTGCCTACCATTCAGTGATTGTGGACAGTTGCAAATCCAGATCCAACTTACCTGGGGTCCTCAGCAGATCACTTAAGGTCCATTTATTGTCCTCCTCTGTGAATGAAAACAAAAAAGAAAGAAAGAAGAAAAGGAAACACGACTGACCCTGGTATGGTGGAGGGGAAGGTTTATCGTGTAGATGAGGGAGAGCATCCGCAGAGGCAGGGGTATCTGGGAGAGTCCAGACGGAGGCGGGGAGGGGAATAGAGACTTAGGCAGGGGAAATAGAGGAGGGTAAGTGTGGTAACAAGACTCTCAGTCCAGGGCATCCCCAAGCAGACTGAGATTTGTCAAAGAGAAGTGTTCCAAATCCCAGAGGAAAGATGTCCCTTGTCCTTGTGTTTGGAGCTCAATGTGGGTGAGAGGAGCTTTCTGGTACACCAGTGTGACTTTATGGGAATAGTAGACAAAGCCAGAAGTTCTGGGGTAACACCCAGCAGTCAAGGAGAGATGAGTGGTTAGAGCAGGTAGAAGATAAAACAGCTGGATAGGAAGAAGCTTTGGATAAAGGGAAGCAGAGGAAAGTGTCTTGGTATGAAGAGATGCCCAGATAGGCTTGGTGTGCTTCAGGAGCCCAAGAGATACTAACACAATAGTTTAGGAGAGTCAGATGGTTAGAATAGGTGCTGGGAAGAGAAGCTGAAGAGTTGGACTCCAGAATTTGGAGCCAAAATATGGCTGGTGGCAGAATCCAGCCCGAGCAAGCGATCTGCACCCAGGAGGGCAAAATTGGCAGTTTGGTTCATTTAAGAGAGGACGAGCCCTTGGAGGGAGGCTCATTGTATTAGTTGTTTTTTTGTTTTGTTTTGTTTTAGAGGTTTGGTCCATTATCATGACAGGGAGGAATCATGGCTGTGTGCAGGCAGATGTGGTGCTGGAGTTGATAATGCTACATCTTACAGACAACAGAAAGTTAACTAACAGTCACACTGAGGGAAGCTTGAGCAAAAGAGACCTCAAAGCCCAATCCCGACAGCAAGGCCACACCTCCCAATAGTACCACTCCCTTTGGGAGCCATTTTTCTTCCAAACCACCACACTCATTTATGCCTCTTCCAGGTTTTGAGCACCCAGTGAATGAAATGGGTGCAGTAGGGGCTGGAGAGATGGCTCAGGAGTTAAAAACACCGGCTGCTCTTCCAGACAACCCGGGTTTGATTCCCAGCAGCTCACAACTGTCTATAACTCCAGGTCCAGGAGATCTAACACCGTTACACCAATCTACATAAAGTTAAATAAATTTTAAAAAATAGGTGCAGTAAAGAAACTAAAATAGCCCCTCTGGGGATAAAAAGAAAAGACTTATTCCAGACTTCCCAGACTCTCAGGGAAACAGAGAAAGGCAATTGGGTGGTGGGGAGGGGGATGTACACAGTAATTTAAGGGAAACAGGTACCTGGGAGGAGAGGAATCTAATGGAAAACTTTGACGTGTATAATAGACCTTGATATGCTAATAGGCACCATGAGTATGTGTTAATGGAAGAGTTCCTTTTCGCAGGTAGACACTATTTTCCCAAGTTCAGGTGGGATGCTGGCTTTTTGTCTAAATGCCAGACTTTGGGCAAAGGGATTTCTTGGGACCAGACATTCTGCAGATGACATCTTCATGAATTCATCTGGAACACACGAACAAAGCACAGAGTTTTATTTGGAATGTACAGGGTCCTAGGTTTCTAGTCAGCTGACAAACTAAGGATATCGTCAAACGGCACCTGAAGCCTAAAATTAGCACGCTTCCCCCACTTTGTTTTAACCTACCTGACAGTTCCAGTTCCATCAGTGTGGAAACGTATATTGATTATAAAAGCTTCATGAAACTGCTTCCATATTGGAACATGGAACATGGGTGACCTAAATCTGTGTTCCCCGGCTGTGGTCACTCATTTGTCTCCAGAATAAATTATCTTTTACCTCCTTTGAAATGAGAGTTGCTTTTGTATCAACACTCTGTACCTTCCTCCCCAAAGCAGAGGATACTTATGCCTATTGCCAGGACTTAGGAATAGATCGAGCATAGTTCCTGAATAAATCTGGAAAACCATGGTGCTATCTGTCTCTGTCTCTCACCTGCCCCAGCCCCTGGTGACCCACCACCTGCTGCCGCCCCTCGGGGAATGGTGCCAATTTAGTTTTTTACCATTACAGACACCCTTGCATAGTCTTTCTGACTATGTAAGCTGGCTATTTGGCTTATTTGGGAAGCCAGATGGGAGAGATTGCTCAGCAATTTAAGAGTCCCTGTTCTTGCCAAGGACCTGGGTTCAATTCCCAGCACCCACATGGTGGTTCACAATCATTTGTAACTCAATTCTAATTCCAAGGGGTCTGATACCTTCTTATGACAGCCATGGTAATCAGGAATGCATGTGGTGTAAATACAGACAAAACATTTATACATACATATCGAATATTTTTCAGAAGAAGAAAAACAGGGACGCACTTGTGGGCATATTCAGTATGGATCATAAAGATGAAAGGTACAAAACAGGATGGAAATGCTTCTGGGCATGAGTAATTGCTTGTTTTTTTCCTAAGAAATAATTTAAGGGTTTGTCCCTAAAGATCCTGAGGAAGCTGCTACTTTGAAGGCAGGAGCCATTGTGCTGAATTTTTTTTTTTTTTTTGAGACAGGGTTTCTCCGTAGCTTTTTGGTTCCTGTCCTGGAACTAGCTCTTGTAGACCAGGCTGGCCTCGAACTCACAGAGATCCGCCTGCCTCTGCCTCCCAAGTGCTGGGATTAAAGGCATGCGCCACCACCACCGGGCTCTGAGTTGCTGTTGAAATAGGAGCGGCGTTGGGGCTGCGTCCCCAACACCCCGGCCGCTTGGCTAGCTCATGCCCGAAATAACAACACACAAACTGTATTCATTTAAGAACTGCTTGGCCCATGAACTCTAGCCCTTACAGGCTAATTCTCGCACCTGGACTAGCCCATTTCTAATGATGTGTGTAAGCACCCCAAGGTGCGCTTACTGGGAAGATTCTAGCCTAAGTCCGTCGTGGGTTGCAGCTGCCTGGGAGAGCAGAGCATGGCGGCTGTCCGGTCCCTCTGGAAGCAGCGCAGAGTCTGACCTCACTTCCTCTTCCGCCCAGAATTCTATTCTGTTTCCTCCTCCCATCTATGTTCTAAGCTATGAGGCCAAGCAGTTGGTTTATTACTTAACCAATGAGATCAACAGATTGATATATGACACTCCCACATCAAGTTGCTGTCTTTAAGTCTGTTCTTTGAGAATCCCCTTGCCCTCCCTGAGCACTCGGTGACCACAGGGGAGTTTAGAGATTTCTGTATTTCCTTCTTGCCCCAATTCTCTCTTCTGTAAACCTGCTTTGCAACTACTCATGATTTTACTTCATAAAGGGGGCCTGAGAGATGGACTCAGGCTGCTCTCTTTAACCTGACATAGAAGGCAGTTGCACCCCAGAAAAATCAAACTTGTTTCCCATTTGGCTGAAATGTGGGAGTGGACTATTTGGGGGTTCACAGCTGAGAGTTCTGACCCTGTGTTAATCAGACGATCACTCTGAACAAAACAAAAGCAACTTTTGTTAAAGTTCTGTCAAACAACTTAGGCTAGGGTCATAAGTCTTTTTGTTTTGCTTTGTTTCGAGACAGGGTTTCTCTCTAGCTTTGGAGCCTGTCCTGGAACTCACTCTTGTAGACCAGGCTGTCCTTGAACTCACAGAGATCCACCTGCTTCTGCCTCCCTAGTGCTGGGATTAAAGGATGGCACCACCGCCCCACTGGGTCTTAAGTCTTACCTATAGCAAAGTTACCAGTAACTTTGAGCTTAAGCTTTTAGAAAGACCTTTAAAATTCGTGGTATAAAGCAAGTTAGGTTAGTGATACTGATTGTTTTGAGAGCCTCTGATACTGTCTCAGCCAAAGCCAACCCAAGACATTTCCTACAGGCACAAAGCTTAAGAAAACTCAAGAAAGTGAACAGAGCAGGTGTTGATTTTCTTTTTTTTCCTATTTTGGGAAAGTCACACTGTAAAAGTTCTTGGCTGTAACCCACCTTGTTGGCATGTGCCACCACCGCCCGGTTTACCATAACATTCTTATTATTTTCCCAAAGCCTTTGAAAATTAATCCAGGAGCCAGGTGATGGTGGTGCACGCCTTTAATCCCAGCACTCAGGAGGCAGAGGCAGGCGGATCTCTGTGAGTTCGAGACCAGCCTGGTCTACAGAGCTAGTTCCAGGACAGGCTCCAAAGCCACAGAGAAACCCTGTCTCGAAAAACAAACAAAAAAA